CTTTAGACTCATCACTCTATCTGACACTCTTTTCAGCTCCAGAACATTCCTAACAAACTCCTCCTTCAGGATAACTCCTACTCCATTTCTCTTCCCACCCACACCATGATAAAACAGCTTGAATCCCGTTCCTAAGCTTCTAGCCTTGCTACCTTTCCACCTGGTCTTCAGAACACACAGTATATCCACCTTCCTCCTCTGCATCATGTCAGCCAACTCTAGCTTTCCCAGTCATAGTACCAAAATTTAAAGTTCCTACTCTTAGTTCTACACTCTTGCCTTTCCTCTTCTCTCTCTGCCTATGGACACACCTTCCTCTTCCCGGGCCTCGACTGATCAAGCTTGGAAGTCATATTCGTGATTCGCATGTTTGATTTGGCATAGGTTTTACGTAGGATGCCCTTCCTGACACTACCCTTTGCATTTATCCGGGCTTCGGGACCAGCCCAATGAGAACACCCCTTGGGGCTGCGTTAAATAAACATACACATATACAAACACACATATTTTCTTTCATTTTGACTTTCAGATGTCATCAGCACCTATAAAGGACAAAGGTTTCAAATCGAGTACGAGACCTCATGTTGAGTTGGAGAAGAGAGAGGGAGAAACTTCAACAGAGTTGATCCTCATGACTCAACATATAACCCTGGCAAGTCTGTTGTTACAGAGAGATGTGAGATTTCATAAGTTTCAAATTTTGTGTACATGTTACTATGAGCTATTAGTAGAGTCTTTAAAAAAATATTGGAAAAGTTAAGCAAAATGTATTCTATTTTGTATTTTGGATATTATTGGTGTTGCAGATAAAAAGCTGCTGTGTATATACACTGCTCAAAAAATAAAGGGAACACATAATGATCACAGTCAGTACATTTACATGGACAGTTTAATTCCACTTTAATTCGGAATGAAAGGCCATTCCGATTAAAATTGGCCATGTAAACGGTCATTCCGATTGAAAAATGGTCATTCTGACTGAAAATTAAATTTGTCATTCTGAATGAAAGAATTTTGTGTGCATGTAAACGTTCATTCCTCTTTAAGTTCATTCATTTCTGTGCATGCTCGTTTCCTTGCCCTTCTGGCACGATGACGTATATAGCGTGCATAGAAACGGGCTGAGATAGAGCAGTTGGACTCGTCGCACTCACCGGTTTCCATACGCCTAAGCACGGTCTTCTATCTCCCTTCTTCAACCTTCTATCTCCCTTCTTCGACCTTCTACCTCCCTTCTCCTCCTCAACAGATGAAGCATTAGCAGAACAAGGTTGTTGTTGTACTGCTGCTTCAAGAATATAAGCAAAACAAGCCCGAAAAAGGCACTAAGAACGGCGTCGTCAAGCATCTTGTTATCCGGAGCGAGGACTACAGTGTTTTCTTCCGGTAAACGTAAACACGTAACATCCGCCCCGCCCCCTATCCAATCAGAAACCTTCCCTGCCCCAAACCTTGCACAGACCTGAATAAAGGTGATTAAACTGATTTCCCATATAAACCCTCATTCAGAATGAATATTTCTCATGTAAACTACCTGGAAAAACTTTAATTCCGAATGATTTCATTCAGATTTATTTCATTCTGAATGAGAAGCCATCATGTAACCGTACCCAGTGTAACTCAAAGTCAATCAAACTCCTGGGATATCAACCTGTCCAGTTAGGAAGCAATACTGATCGTGAATCAATTTCACCTGCTGTGCAAATTGGACAGACAACAGATGGAAAGGAGAGGCAATTACCAAGACAACCCCTATTTAGGAATGGTTTTGCAGGTGGTGGCCACAGACCATTTCCCTCTCTGTGTCCTTTCTGGTTGATTCTTGGCTAGTTGCGTTTTTCCAGTGCCCTCACCACTAGTGGTATCATGAGGCGGCACACTGTCAAGAGCATGGAGGAGATACCAGGAGACAGGCCAGTACACCACGAGAGGTGGAGGGGGCCGAAGGAGGGCAACAACCCAGCAGCAGGACCGCTATCTGCTTCTTTGTGCAAGGAGGAACAGAAGGAGCACTGCCAGAGCCCCCCAAAATGACCTCTAGCAGGCCACTCGTGTGCATGTTTCTGCCCAAACTGTCAGAAACAGACTCCAAGAGGGTGGCATAAGGGCCAAACGTCCACAAGTGGGGCCTGTGCTCACACCCCGGCACGGTGCAGCCCGACTGACATTTGCAAGAGAACACCAAAATTGGCAGATTCGCCACTGGCGCCCTGTTCTCTTCACAGATAAGAGCAGGTTCACACTGAGCACATGTGACAGACATGACAGAGTCTGGAGACGCCATGGAGAATGTTCTGCTGCTTGCAACATCCTCCAGCATGACCAGTTTGGTGGTGGGTCAGTGATGGTCTGGGGAGGCATATACTTGGAGGGCCGCACAGACCTCCACATGCTAGCCAGAGGTACCCTGACTGCTGTTAGGTACCGGGATGAGATCCTCAGACACATTGTCAGACCATATGCAGGTGCAGTGGGCCCTGGGTTCCTTCTGATGCATGACAATGTTCCGACTTCATGTGGCTGGAGTGTGTCAGCAGTTCCTGGATGACGAAGGCATTGATGCTATTGACTCGCCCGCCCGTTCCCCAGACCTTAATCCAATCGAGCACCTTTGGAACATCATGTATTGTAGCATCCACCATCACCACATCGCACCACAGACTGTCCAGGAGCTGACTGATGCCCTGAACCAGGTCTGGGAGGAGATCCCCCAGGAGACCATCCGTCGTCTCATCAGGAGCATGCCCAGACATTGTAGGGAATGTATACAGGCACGTGGAGGCCATACACACTACTGAGCCACATTATGAGTTGTCCTGAGGAAATTCACAGAAGTTGGATCAGCCTGTGATCTGATTTTTCCACTTTGATTCTGGGTAAGACTGTGAAACCAGTTATAAATGAGTTAATGATTTTGGTTTCCATGGATTGTTCTTAAATTATTTTGTTGTCAACGAATTACACTATGTAATCAATAAAGATTTTCATCTGGAATATTTAATTCGAGATCTGGGTTGTGTGATTTAAGTGTTCCCTTTATTTTTTTGAGCAGTGTATTTATGTATCTATTTCTTGTATATTATTTACAAAGATTTTGTTGTTTTCATTTTTTACATTTGCTAACAATAAAGTTCTTTTGGGAAAGTACTTCAGTCATATCTTTATTAGTGGGCCCTTTGGTATAATAGACCTTAGTGTTCAGAATTGAGTTTACATAGTTGTATCTCATTACATGTCATGAAAAGTCACTCTTCTACAGTTCCATGCCTCAAGGGTCCATTGTCATACCTGTAAATATTGTGATTGTTCTGCAGGGTGTATGGATTCAAGCATTTAGGCTCTAGGCCTGGATGGTGTATCATACATGTAGGATGAACTTGACCCTGATTTATTCCCCCAAAACATAATAAGTAAAAAATAGACAAGGCATACTGTGTTATAAGTAAGCAAATAAAGACTCAGGGGACAACATCACTGCGTAGAAAAAATATTGATCCAGGAAGCAATATGTGTTTAAAACCTGTGTGGTTTTAACGGGGAATGTTTTAGTAGCCAAATTTATAATAACTTTATTATTACCCAACACATTAGTCTAATCTTAGATAAGCCTGCTTAGATAAAAAAGGAGTTATGCTTCACACCAATGTATACAACAAGTGAGTGCTAATGTTGGTTGTTCCACATAATGTAGTAATTGATTATATTGTTTTTGTACTTTCTTGCAACAGTCGTTTACAACTTCAGTCAGTAAACCAACATGTGATGTAACAAAGCTGAAATACAAGATGCCTACAAAATAAAAACTTGCCACTGTGAAACATCCTGCTCCAGACTGGTTTAGGTCTATCGACTTGTGTTTCTTCATTTTCAAGGGCTGTCCACACCAATGTGGGTATTTATAAAAACATGACTCTTTGCTCACAGTTTGGCCTTTCATCCACACGTAACCGCAGTTTTGGGCCCCTGTAACCAGAGTTATTTGTAATCGGAATCCAGGGTGAACTTTTTGGAACAGTCCGGTGTCAGCAGTCATGTGTGGACAGGATAACCGCAGTTATTTTGTCTTGTCTCCATTGTATGACGTCACAATGTGCGACATAAACATAAAACAGCTGTGTTATTACCCGATCCAGTGTGTGCAAGAGAAGATTTGAGGATGGACCTAAACAAAGTACTGTTGCTATTTAGCAGCATATCAGCACTTTGTGGCTGTATCATACAACTCAACCACATCCAGCAACAGAGTCGCAAGAGTGTGCTATTCCGGTAATGACGTTTTACTGCCTTCTGATTGGCTACAATGGCCTTAAAGTTAGGAGTTATATCGCCACCTACTGCTTTGGCATGTGTATTACATTGCTTGATAGTGGAATTTGCGGTGTCATGTGGACGGAGGTATTTTTATTACATCGCTCGTATGGACGCAGATTTTTTAAAAACTGGAGGCCTAAAACTGGTTTTAAAAATACCCGTGCTCGTGTGGACTAGGCCTCAGAGTCCAACTCTGACTTTAAGCTTCTCATGCAGCTTCAGGAGGTGAAATTCAGGTAAGGTAAGGGGCGTGACATTTCCGATACACGCTCTACGTGTTGCACCTAACACAACAGACTGAGCAAGCTGACCAAGCAGAATGGAATGCTGGGGAAGTGGGATATAAGCCCAAACAGATTGTTTCAGACAGAGGTGCTGCAGAAGTGGACAGTGTAAAAAAAAAAGTTTTTGAACATTAAAGCACCTAATTCTGTTCCACTAGACCTAAACATTACAAATATGACCCCGAAAATGAGCATTACAGGAAGTCTTTAGGACCGCAAGCCAACCCCCAAATGCTAAAGTGGGATTAGTAACAGTGATGTTTTTATTCATATTCAAATTGCCATCCACTACTTCTCCCTGAAAGAATTAATCACGTTACAAAGTGTGACAAGAGGGTGAGGACTGGGACCATTTCAGATGGTCCTCTTTACCAATTTGACACAAACAGGACAGCAGAGACAATGTTTTCAAGTAATAACAATAAGGTTTATTAAATATATGAACTAAAAACAAGATGTTCAAAACATTTGTTGGCAACCATAAAAACTTATTTGACAGTCCTAGGAGAAGCTAAAACCTGAACATACAAAAAAAAAAAGTTAAGAGCTATTAGTCATGGGAGAAGGTTGCTGTCCACCAAGCCGCGGGGAATTTTAGGGGAAGACCCACTCAAGCCTATGCAAAACAAAAAAATGCAAGCGAGGTTACACAGTGACAACAAAACTAAAGATAAAGAACAAGCTGAAAAAACAGCAAACAACACTCAACCCTGCAAAAGGAGTGGATGCTTGGGGAGCTAGGCCCCGGCTTGGACAGGCCCCAACCCTTCCTCAGTCAGGGCTCAGCCTAAAAGCAAAGACAAAGAAAACACATTAAAATGGGCAGGTGGGAGATAAGGTTTCCTTTAGTTTACAAACTATCACATCAATTAAGTACATTTAAAAAAAAAAGACAGGACCAGGCATTCACCTCTTAAGAGAGACATCAAACCCAGGGAGTGTCCTGGCCATCAGGTGAAAATCTGGCCTACAACATTGAAACATCAATAAAGTCTAGAAGCCACATGCAGGACACCAAAACATACAAATCAAAGAAACAAAGGACACAACTTGAGTGTACATGGCAACATAACTCACCACAGGGATGAGGAGCAGTGTCTTTGCAACCTGAGAATTTGCTTGGTGTATATATAGAGTAGCATGAATGAGCTACACCTGGAGCCCATTCAAACCTAATCAGGCTCTCTTGAGGTGGACTGACCTTTAATGTGCCCAGCCAACCCTACTACAAAAGTAATGCATTACTACCCAACACTGTTGGACAAGAGATGAGGATAAAAAATGATCTACACACAGTAAGTGAAAGTGGCTGAAGGTGATATACCCTTATTACAAGTACAAGAAGACCAGATCACTTCAGCTGAAAGTTGTAATCCTGCTTGCACTCTTTGCCACTGACTGTTACAGAGATGATATCAGGTTGTATGGAGGGTCTGCTCAGCTCCTGCCCAGGGCATTTACCTCCAAACCAACAGCAGCACTTGGTGACCATGGAACACAAGGGCTACAACACTGACCCCTTCCAGCAGGGCCTCACCCCACCACAGATGCCTGGTGACCACATGAACCCCTACAGTGAGCATCACATTCTATAATAACTGTAACTGTGGATGAGTGTGAGTGTGCTGTGGTCTCTTTCTAAGTGTTTTCTGTATTCTCCTTGTTTCCTCTAGTAACAATGTAATATGGAGACTGTTGTCCATAGTGTTATCCAACTGGAAAACTGCTCAAAGTGTTTCCTCCCTGCCACCCAATCCACGCTGGGATAGGTTACAGCCCTCCACCACAGTAGGCACATGGAACAAGTTAGCCCTCAGGGCTTTCTGAAGCTTTCAAGAAGCGCTTCCTGGTACAAATGTATTGATTTTAACCCAAACCACAATCTTTTTCCTAACCCTAACCACAAAAAAGGCTTACTGACAGGCAGCCCTGAGGGCAAACTTCTGCCAACAGCCCACAGCAGAGGAATATAGCGGCATTTACTTTCAAGGCATCAGTTCCATGACTCTCACTGAAGTAGAAATTGTGTATTGCAGAGATGTGAAATGTGTCGATTGAAGATACTATCAAGTTGCATTGTGGGAAATGTAGGATCCAGGGTTTTGGGACCTTGACTAATACCAGGGACCAAAAGTCAGGATATCTCAGCCTCTGTTCCTTACATTCTTTTAAATCTGTCTCTTAAACTGTACGGAGGTACAATACTAAATCACTACCATCACTGATGCTCTGAAACTTAACTAGGCAATATTTGGTGCAATAATAAATTTAGCAAATTTAACTTACATAACAGGAACAGATGGGGCTAACAAACAAACTAACCAATGTAAGTGTTGATGTAATGACACTCTTTCTGTATTCTTACCCTCACCACAATGGTACCTATCATTGCTCAGCTCACTCTCACTTTATTGGCAGTGATGGGAATTTACCAATAAGGTGTGATGGCTGATTAAAAATGGATGACCAGGGGCATCAGTGGCTTAGTGGATAGAGCAGGCGCCACATGTACAAGGCTGTTGCCGCAGTGGCCTGGGTTGCTTGCTGCATGTCATTCCCTCTCCCTCTCTCTCCCCCCCTTCACGCTCAGCTGTCCTGTCAAATAAAGGCAAAAATGTCCCCCCAAAAAATGGATGACCAATAAAGTCGTCATCATTTAGACACTGTGAGCCAAATAACCCTGCAGCGACACCCAGGAGAGCCGTACCACACATCCCTGCAATTTTCTGAATGGGGAAAAAAAAAGCTTCTCCAGCCGCTCTCCACATGCTGTCCTAAGCCCCACCTACTGATTGCACCAGCCAAGATTGAATATCTGTATGTACTGTAGGCTGCTGGCTGCTGTATAATGCTGGGATCTGTTTTGTCCTTAAAATCCCAATGGTCAGTCCAGGTTTGGTGTAGGCAGATGTTGCCAAAGCTGAAACAGCAACGTTTTCTGTGGTATTCTCCATCAATGAATCACACTTTCACCAAAGGGGCATGAATGTGCATTTCCATTTGTAGAGCAGCTAATGGAAATACCCTCTCCCTGAAATAACCTGTGATTGGCTTGGGTACAGTTGTTGGCACACTTAAGTATATAAATAAAAAAAGAAGAGAGAGAGAGAGAGAGAGAGAGAGAGAGAGAGAAAGAGAGACCGCTTATGTTGTGGGCCTAGAATTTGGTACTACACCCCTGCACATATGCAATGTGGAGCATAAGGCAGCATGCGTGCATATAAAGCCCATGGGGTCAGGTGTTTCTACTCTCTGGTTGGTTAAATTGTGACTTCCCCATGTCTTCTCTGCTCTTCCCAGGCACTGACTCCATCTTCCACAACACTGACAGAGACACCTCTCTGACAAGTCTTAGTGACTGCTTCATGAACACTCCAGATGTAGGCAACCTGAAGGCTCAGGCAGGGAACCCTATTGACTGCCTGTACTCCATGCAGACTTCCTACTTTGCCTCTACAGACACCATCACCACTGTTGGTACCACCCAACCCACCACACCACATCCCAGGTCATGAACAGTGAGTGCATAACAGTGCACACACAAGACACATATGTTACAGAATTGTCCTGCAAGAAATGAATCAATAAGCAGGTAAATGTGACCGCAGGACAGAATCCACCAAATTGCCTGACTGACCTCCACCAGCCAAAGAAAAGAGAAAACTTGAAAGTCAAACTGTACATGCCACCTGCCGTCTGAATGGAGGTTTGAAGCAGTACATTTGCCTTTTCAACTGGGTTCATTTTGTTGGCAAGATAGCAAACACTTTTACACAGACATCACAATGGAAGTGTTTAGTGGTATGAAAAGTTGAACTTAAGTTTAAGCCAGAGATCTGTTGGAAATATAGTCAGAATCAGTTAGTCAGTTTAATAGGTGCATTAAAAATGATCTACCAAGCTCTCCTGCTGTAATGAAAAGACGGTCTGTCAGCCAGCTGACTAATACCTGTTACTGTATGTATATAATATCCAGAATGTTAGGATGGACAACAAATTATTTATTTCTCACCAATGTGCTGGTAAACAATGAATCAAAAAATATATTTACTTGTAAAAAGACAATATAAATCCATTGTAAACATCCAGATTCAATGATTATTTTATTATGCTATTTATCATACAATTTGTGTTGTTTAATGTAAGTTGATTTTGCTTTGCTATTTATTTTCACATTGAGATCATCTAGACATTGTCAAGAGTGCATTTTAAGTTTGCTTACTTACTGAACATATTGGTACTTTAAATAAAAAGTGCAATTTCTTGAATTTTCATTTTCTTTTGCATTAGAAACAATCAACAGATAATGGCAGCAAAATTCAACTTATCTGATATATGTACATACAGGACAGTTAAATAACAAATATTCTATATTCCAACTCTGGCCAACAAGCTATGAATATCAAGACTCATAAACCACACCAGCAGTTCTGTGAGGCTGGACTTTGGCACAAAAGTACTTTGAGCTTATCTCTTTAAACAGATATCTGCATATGTATGTAGAATCTGGAGGCAACAGGACAAGATTGTGGTATCTAAAGTGTTCTGGTTAATGATTGTAGTCCATTTGTAGTGCGAGTCAGGGGTGGACTGGGACCAAAATTTGGCCCTGGCAATTTGGCCCAGACCAGCCCACCACAATCAATCACAAATATAAGTCATATGTATATATATGATACAAAAACATTTGAGGGGACACATATTAAAGACGGGTTCTGGGGCTTTTTTACTTATATGTAACTACAAATTAATTTTCCTGCTATAGCTGTAACTTATGTCCCCTCATGCTACCTGCTACAAGGACACTAGTGGAACACAAAACTAGAGAAGAATCAGTCAGGAAGTGTAAGGAGAGAGCAACTGTTGGTGACCACCACATGCAAAGCCACTGCCTTTTGGGGGATTGTCTTGCTTTTGCCTCTCCATTGCACCTGATGTTGATAGATGGATTTCATGTAAAAGCTGATCATAGATATAAATTCAATAGGCAATGTAAAGCCATTAAAAACATTCACAGGGACAAGGGAAATTCATTTATAAACAGGTCAGGGTTGCCAACTTTTCAAAAACCTTGGAGTGAGATTCAGCGGGGCACCACAATTTCATTGTTTAAGCTGACATGTAAAATTTTTGTTTGTCAACTGATTTGTCAACCGCATCCTAACGGATTTTTGGGGCGCCTGCTGGAGATGGATAGGGCCTAAAAACGTACATACAAATACCATACAGAGAGAGACAATGGTGGTATAGTGGGGATCTGGGGGTCCTCCCCCAGAAAATTTTGGATGTGGTAGATGTGATTTCCTGCACTCTGGTGGGTTTAGGGGTAGCATTGGAGATGGGCAATACCTACATACATTCAAAGCCACCATGACTTGCAGGGCCTTCACAAGCAAGGGCGTAGTTTTGATTTTCACATTGGTAGGGACATAAAAGTGCTCCATGGCGGCAACCTGTACGTTGATGATTTTTTAATGCAATTTCACGTCATGTGAAACTGATCACTGCTTTATAAAGCATATTTAGATATCTACACTAAATACAAGAGTGTCTTGGTTAATGTATTCTCTAATGTTATCAGTTACATGAATATACACTGATAGCTTCACCACATCTGTCTGTATGTGCTTCCCAGGGTAAACTATAATAATAACAATAACAGTATACTCCGAAGGGGCTTCACTTCAGTACCAGCCTGCGGCCTGCAGTTGGGTTGGTAATAGTGATCCGAATTGATATTGATATCGGGTAAAAACATATATTATGCATGAATCAATATTTTTACTTACCCCTAGTCACAATGCTGAATCTCACTATCAACATATATCCTTCAGGATTCAATCTCACCTGTGAGGCTCCTGTCTCTCCTCTGTCTCCTCCTGTCTCTTCCATTTCCTTCTGTCTCTCTTCCTGCCTCTCCTCCTCCATCTCCTCCATCTCCTCCACTCTCTCTACTACTTGTCATCTGACAAAAAATATACTGATGCAAGACATGTGAACAGTGGGACAATTTGAGATGCAACAGTCATAGATTTTGATTGTTGTAGCCTGAGGAAAACATAATGTATGTTTTACAATTGTGTAATTCATTAAACAACATCTGAATGTATATAGGCTAAAGAACAGCCATAATGTCAACACAAGTTAGTCAGCTTCATCACGTTAAACATAAATAAAATAAATCAACAACAATGTAAATGCTCCAAAATCATTATAATACAACTGTGTGCAAAATGTTGCACTTACACCCAATATCTATTACATAAATATGACTCAGTGTTGGTGTTTTTACTGGGAGCAGTGGATCTCTATTCTCCTAAGTCTCTCCTTCACACACCATGGATGCTGAAGACTGTCACTGAAGGAGCTATTATTTATAGTGTTTACACATTATATATTAAGACTGTTTCTATCATGTCATCTTACTACAAACATTAATTTGAACTGTGTCATCACTACATGACATCTATGATTGCTGATGGAGCATGTGAGGTGGAATTTCGTGTTCTCTGGCATATAATATTGATCTAATAGTTACCAAAATTAGCTCAGCGAGTATTAGTTCATTAGAATCTCATTATCTAGCAAAGAGTTGCCAAGGAACACCATTCAGTTAGCCTAACATCAACAGGTGTTGGCAGAAAATCCAATTTTTTTTAGCTTATTTACTGAACCAACCGACTCACCGTTCACGCTCGGCGCTCCGGTGTGGAGCGCTAATGGTGACGCGCGTGTATGTCTCGTTCCCTCACAAACTGCCGTGAACTGTATGGTGACACGCACCCACAAAGTCAGTGGAGAGAGCGGCGCTGGGGAGGACCAATCACACGTTACCAAAATAACGGTAGAGCCAATCGATGAGCAATACAAGGTTAGATGCGGGATGTATGGTAGACACCAACAATTGTTAAAGCTATAGTGCGTAACTTCTGTCGCCTCCCAGCGGATAATGCGTTATTACAACTAATAAGCCGGCGGCACTTCCATGTACACAGAGTAACACTCGCCACACAGCGTGTACACAGAGTAACACTCTCCAGTCGCCACACACCATGTACACAGAGTAACACTCGCTTCACACTGTGTACACAATGCTACACAACATGGCGAACACCAGGATGCTAACATTACATTACATTCATAGCACCATTTCCAAGAAAATAATAAAGTAGTAGGTCCAGTACATGTAACAGCAACACATACTACTCATAATATAATTATAAACCAAGTCACTTACTTATCCAACAGCAGCAAGGCAACATCAGTGTCTGCCCTCAGCCCAATTTCTTCCTTCAGGGCTCTCCACCGAGGAAAAGCGACGCCAATACAAATCCTTGTTTGCCTTCTCAGTCGGTCACTTTCCTTCTTTGCTAATAGACCTTCAGCCGAACGTCCAGGCTTTTTCTTTGTGGAAGGATCCACTTCTGAACTGTGTCTCGGCAGCTTCTCCGCCACGTTGCTTTCACTTTCTACCTGCGCTCTACCTCTTGCTGTGACACTCTCTGCTCGTCCTCCCCCTCCCTTCTTGTTGTGAGGAAGCATTTCCTGTGCACCAGCACGGGAATGTCGCTGGTCTACATGCATACTAAAAATGATATATATTAAAAATACTGCAAGATGTTAGAGGAGCATTGTGTCATCTCCTCTAGTAGTGGCTTGGGTGAAACGGACATTTACGGACCTGTAGAAGTTACGCTACAGAAACTACAGAAACTAGAACTTGCCTATGTGGCATATAGCCTATTACTTTGTAGACACAAGACCCATTTTGGATTTAAAGCAAAATTTATGGTTGAAATGGTTGAATATATTTTGATTAAAATCTAACTAAAATATTATTTTGGGAATAATAATATATTTTGTGTATTATTGTAGTCTAAAGAGCACTTCATGATGTATTTTTAGACTATGCAAGTCTAAGAGTGCCTAGACCTAGGCCATTTCATTTCATTTTTGACATTTACAAAGCTCTCCAAATGCCTTTTAACATAGCTGTGGAAATTAATCACAAAGTCACTTTTATGCTATAGATATTTTCTCTCAGCCAGTTATAATCTCTCCTCACCTGTGAAGACCCTGCATGATCATCCTTGCTGGTCTCTGGTCCACTGTCTCCTCCCTGACCATGCTCTTTCTATTGAGGCAATAAAGATTAAAAAAATTATGTGTAAAGCAATAATGAGCACAAGTTCTTATTAAAGGGATAGTGCACCCAAAAATGAAGATTCAGCCATTATCTACTCACCCATATGCCGAGGGAGGCTCAGGTGAAGTTTTAGAGTCCTCACATCCCTTGCGGAGATCCAAGGGGAGAGGAGGTAGCAACACAACTCCACCTAATGCAGGCTGGGCGCCCCAGATTCAAATGTCCAAAAACACAGAATTGAAACCACAAAATATCTCCATACTGCTCGTCCATAGTGATCCTGAAAGTGTCCTGAAGCCCCGACATAAAAAGTTGCTTGGGAAAACGTCATTCGAGCTCTGTTTTTAGCCTCATTGTAGCCTGTAGCTCTAACTGCCTCTCTGTTCACCGAGCTCATGTGTGTGCGCTTGCACGAAACCGTGAGACATGGGCACCGCCTTCATGTGTGTTCACGTGCTGTCGCCGGTCTCATGTGCAAGCACCGTCAGCCTGCATTAGGTGGAGTTGTGTTGCTAGCCCCTCTTCCCTGGGATCTCCGCAAGGGATGTGAGG